ACTTTCTGAAGGCCAAAAATTGGGAAATTGTATTATTTTATAATATAATTGCTCAGAGAAATAGATTTTGTTTAACAAGTTATATATTTTTTCTCTCAAAAAGATAGGTGTCAAAATTATTGCCACCCCCGTTTTAAATACTTTGTGCAACCTCCCCTTGCTAGAATAACGACACTGAGCCTTTTTCTATAATGTCTTATGAGATTGCAGAACACATTGTTAGGGATCTTAGACCATTCCTCCATTCAGAATCTTTCCAGATCCTTGATATCCTTTGGTCTGCGCTTATGGACTGCCATCTTCAATTCAAACCACAGGTTTTCAATGGGGTTCAAGTCTGGAGACTGAGACGGCCATTGCAAAATGTTGATTTTGTGGTCAATTAACCATTTCATTGTGGATTTTGATGTGTGCTTGGGGTCATTTTCCTGCAGGAAGATTCACTTGCGGCTTAGTTACAGCCTCTTGGCAGAGGCAACCAGGTTTTGGGCTAAAATGTCCTGGTACTTAGTAGAGTTCATGATGCTGTTGACCTTAACAAGGGCCCCAAGATCAGTGGAAGCAAAACAGCCCCATAACATCAAATATCCACCACCATATTGTACAGTAGGTATGATATTATTTTCTGCATATGCATCCTTTTTATGCCAAACCAACCACTGGTTTGCGTGTGCAAAGTGCTCTATTTCCGTCTCATCTGACCATAGCACCCGGTTCCAATACAAGTGCCAATGGCGTTTAGCAAACTCCAGGCGTTTACATTTGTTGGTTGCTCTCAATAAAGTATTTTTTCTGGCAACCCTTCCAAAGAGCCTAAAACGAAGGAGCTGATCGTAAACTACAGGAGACAGCAGAAAGAGCACGCCCCCATCCACATCGACTGGGCCGCAGTGGAGAGGGTCAAAAGCTTGAAGTTCCTCCGCGTGCACATCACTGACAACCTGAAATGGTCCCTTCACACAAACAGCGTGGTGAAGAAGGTGCAACAGCGCCTCTTCAACCTCAGGAGGCTGAAGAAATTTGTCTTGGCCCCTAAGACCCTCACAAACGTCTACAGATGCACCATTGAGAACATCCTGTCGGGCTGTATCATCGCCTGGTACGGCAACTGCAGGGCTCTCCAGAGAGTGGTGCGGTCAGCCCAATGCATCACCAGGGGCACACTGCCTGCCCTCCAGGACATCTACAGCACCCAGTGTCACAGGAAGGCAATTAAGATCATCAAGGACCTCAGCCACCCGAGCCACGGCCTGTTCACCCCGCTACCATCTACAAGGCAGAGACAGTAAAGGTGCATCAAAGCTGGGACCGAGAGACTAAGAAACAGCTTCTATCTCCAGAATATCAGACTGTTACACAGTCACTACTAACCTTAGTCACTGTTCTAGCCGGTTACCACCCGATACTCTACCCTGCACCTTAGAGATTGCTGGTCACTTTAATAATGTTTACATACTGTTTCACCTACTTTATGTATATCAAATAAGAAAATGTATTATATAAAAGGTATATACAGTACTGTATTCCAGTCCTGGCTCATCCTATATATCTACTGCTGTACACACATTTTCTAAAAACCTGAAATATCACATTTACATAAGTATAAAGACCCTTTACTCAGTACTTTGTTGAAGCACCTTTGGCAGTGATTACAGCGTTGAGTCTTCTTGGCTATGACGCTACAAGCTTGGCACACATGTATTTGGGGAGTTTCTCCCATTCTTCTCTGCAGATCCTCTCAAGCTCTGTCAGGTTGGATGGGGAGCGTTGCTGCACAGCTATTTTCAGGTCTCTCCAGAGATGTTCGATTGGGCCACTCAAGGACATTCAGAGACTTGTCCCAAAGCCACTCCTAAGTTGTCTTGGCTGTGTGCTTAGGGTCATCGTCCTGTTGGAAGGTGAACCTTCGCCCCAGTCTGAGGTCCTGAGCGCTCTGGAGCAGGTTTTCATCAAGGATCTCTCTGTACTTTGCTCCATTCTTCTTTCCTTCGATCCTGACTAGTCTCCCAGTCCCTGCCGCTGAAAAACATCCCCACAGCATGATGCTGGCACCACCATGCTTCACCGTAGGGATGGTGCCAGGTTTCCTCCAGATGTGACGTTTGGCATTCAGGCCAAAGAGTTCAATCTTGGTTTCACCAGACCAGAGAATCTTGTTTCTCATGGTCTGAGAGTCTTTAGTTGCTTTTTGGCAAACTCCAAGTGGGCTGTCATGTGCCTTTTACTGAGGAGCAGCTTCTGTCTGGCCACTCTGCCATTTAGGCCTGATTGGTGGAGTGCTGCAGAGATGGTTGTCCTTCTGGAAGGTTCTCTCGTCTCCTCAGAGGAACTCTGGAGCTCTGTAAGAGTGACCATCGGGTTCTTGGTCACCTCCCTGACCAAGGCCCTTCTCCCCCGATTGCTCAGTTTGGCCGGGCGGCCAGCTATAGGAAGAGTCTTGGTGGTTCCAAACTTCTTCCATTTAAGAATGATGGAGGCCACTATGTTCTTGGAGACCTTCAATGTTGTAGACATTTTTTTGTACCCTTCCCCAGATCTGTGCCTCGACATAATCCTGTCTCTGAGCTCTACGGACAATTCCATCGACCTCATGGCTTGATTTTTGCTCTGACATGCACTGTAGACTGTGGGACCTTATATAGACAGGTGTGTGCCTTTCCAAATCATGTCCAATCAATTGAATTTACCACAGTTGGACTCCAATCAAGTTGTAGAAACATCCCAAGGGTGATCAATGGAAACAGGATGCACCTGAGCTCAATTTCGAGTCTCATAGCAAAGGGTCAGAATACTTATATAAATCAGGTATTTCTGTTTCATATTTTTAATACATTTGCAAACATTTCTAAAAACCTGTTTTCGCTTTGTCATTATGGGGCATTGTGTGTAGATCGATGAGGATTATTTTTTTAAAATCCATTTTAGAATAAGACTAATTTAACAAAATGTGGATAAATTCAAGGGGGCTGAATACTTTCCAAATGGACTGTATACATAATGTAATAGACTATGGCATATTTTGAATAGGCTAATGGACTCCAAATTATCGAACTGGTCTGCTCCATTTTTATCTACAGTGGCGGACTGGGACCGAAAATCAACCCTGGCATTTCTACCACACCGGCCCATTTCTTTCCTTGCGGCCCCCACACCAGACTATTTTTTCCCTCTTGAGGACCCCATTATTAGCCAGATAATGATCAGTTTGAGCAAAAAACCCAAGTTAGACAGGCCCACTGGGCTAAAAATGGACCAGCCCATCTGGTATTTGCCAAAAATGTCAGATGGTCAGTCTGCCCCTGCTTATCGATGTTGACCTTCTAATCTAGGTATATTGTCCAGACATATCATAGTACAGTGTAAGCCTACTATGCTATTTGTAATTAACTGCCATGAAAATATATGTTGTCCTTTCTGGGGACATAAGTGTGTATGGTGTGTTGGCACTAGATAGACAGGCACGCTCAGCTCTGTAGCATATGACGTCAGTGGCAGGGAGCTGGTATTGGTTCGCGCGGCCATGAGGAGCTCAACGTGACAGCTCAGTGCAGCAGGTAACAATCCGATCCACAGCATCAACCGAATCATCCATCTGCAGGTGCACGTGTAGACTCAAATGGGTAATGTGTGGAAACCGTGTCCACTCTGAGCCTATTGGCACATGCGAGAATACAGAGCAGCGTGGAGAAAATAAAACATTAGGCTATGAGCCACACCAAATAATTATTCCCACGGGGCATTACAGCTTTATGTAATAGCCTACATATTGACTGTAGTCTACTGTTAGGTTGGGTGGATTGGTTTTTTAGGAATTATTGTCATGGACACAGGCAGGCCTATTTAGGCTTTATCTAAACCTAAAATTGAAAACCTACTAAAGATAATATTTAAAGAGAAATAGATAAAGCCCCGTGTAGCTCAGTTGGTAGAGCATGGCGCTTGAAACGCCAGGGTTGTGGGTTCGATTCCCCTGGGGGGCCAGTATGAAAAGGTATGCACTTACTAACTGTATAGTCCGCTAAAATGTAAATGTAATAAAATACTATTTTCACATCATGAAGGTAAAAAAACATTCACACACATTTTTATTTTAAAAGGGCAATTTGCAGTTGCTACATCAATTTTTGGACTTATACATTAATATACTTATACATGTGTAGGCTTACCCATTGATTTTTGAAGAATATAACTTATAAATACCTCATGAGCTTAGTTCAACTGTTGGAATACCCCATCAAAACCAAAATATAAGCTTGTTTTACTCCAATGTTTGTAAACAATATAAATGTAAACAAACACTATATAGCCCCAAAACATGGTTAAAACTATACTTTTATAATGGTTGGCCAGTCCTTGCATCAATAGCTCTGTCTATGAATTTGAGATTGGTTACATTTCTTCAGCCCCCTTCCTAGGCTTTTTACCGAAACAGGAGCGAGTACACGCTTTGTTATTGTTTCTACAGCTGATTGCGGCTTTAACCAACACACTGAGACAAGTTGAATATGTGAGGCTACACACGAATGAAAAGTTATATGTTCTTCCCTGCACATTGTCTGTGGATATTTTCTCAATTTCAATCAAATTAAGCCATATAAGGGCTAGCTTACCTTCTCCCCCCTATAAACCACTATTCTGCATATGATTGTAGAAAAACAGGAATGTGATAATGCATCTATTTTATCTTAATTCTGACACTTTCCTATAATAACCGTATATATGCCATGTCATTATTATGCATATGAAAGTTGTAAATGAAACAGAAGCCGGAATGTAGAACATACAGTAATAACAAACAGTAGGCGATAAGGCTAAGTGTGTAAGGAATTCTGCCCTACTTTCTATATAGTAAACATATACTAGCACATACCGCCCAGAGTTGTTTTATGTTCTCGTAGCATAGCTGTAGCATGGTGAACACGGGACCCAGCACGCTAGAATAAGAGGGAGGGCAATTCTCGTGCAGATCCTCCTTAACTACAGAAATGGGTTGTACTCCAGATGGGTAGAAAGCACCGTCCAACACGTGAGTCTCATGTGACGGAGGTAGATCAGCTCTCCAACGGAGAGACGTGTCTAGTCACAGGGTTTATTTAACACGTAGACCAAACCACCCCTGTACCACACATTTACCCGGGAGTAGAGCATCTGAACTATTGCTGTGCTTGGATCTCAGAGTGACAACATCACATTGACAGTCTCTGCAAAGCAATAGCCTGATGAAAGAATATTCTTTATAGAAAAAGTGTTCACTATTGAATAGAAGAATATAACAATACTATTAGCAAGAAGAATACACTTTTTTTTCCTCAGATGACAATATTAGCCAAATATTGAAAGACAAGTGAAGCCTATTTTTAAGGTTGAATTGTTTGGAGACCAATATTTGGATTTCATAAAGACGCAAAATGGAGAGGATTACAAATGCGCAACCTCCTCCTTGTATGGCAAAACACCAGTCGCTGGAGATGGCAGACATTCAAAGGTAAGCCCACAGAAACAGCTTGTAATGTATGCATTATAACACTGCAAAACAACATAGTATTCTTATGTAAATAATAATAATAATAAAAACACTATAAGCATGACTTCTTATCAATATTGTCTATTCTCTTTGCCCTATAGAATGGATATCCCAAAGTACATGAACAAACACCGAAGGGGAATGAAGCGCGGGGAAGACAGTAAGGTATGCTGCTGTTCTTTACTTTAAACATTTTGTACATCTTTGGTTTACTTTTGTCCGCAATTTCTTATTTCTTATACCCTATTTAAGACATTTTACACATTGACTAACAAATGTACTTTTATTTCTCCCACAGGAGACGAACAAGTTACCCCACCGATTGATTGAGAAGAAAAGACGTGACAGAATCAATGAATGCATTGCCCAACTGAAGGATTTATTGCCAGAACATCTCAAACTCACAGTGAGTACGAATTTCATGTGTAGCCTACTACTACTGACTGTGGAATAGGAATGCAAATGCGCCACCTGGTTGTTCATGATTCATTTGTTTGGCCAAATCAATGCCTTGATTAGTCTGATTTAATCCAAACATTTAGCCTGTTATGACAAAGGAAACTTCTTATTCGATTTTTTTTTCATAATGTAAATTAGTTGTTTATTATTATTATTATTATTATTATTATTACATCAACACTATTTAAAATTATCAGATTGAAAAGTTTGGTTAATTACAATAATTGAATTCAATGCATATTGCCCCAAACCCTTTCATAACAATATACATAAACAATATGTAGATAAATTATGTCTTTAAATTTACTGCATTGTGTTGGTGTGTGCAGATTGCCTGCCTTCCCGCCCTGTGGCAGTTTGTCCTCTGTTCAGCTGCTAAAAGTGTTATGTAAGAAAGATCAACATGCTTATCAAGGTCTTCCTGTTTTAGACTCTGGGCCATTTGGAGAAAGCTGTGGTGTTGGAACTCACCCTGAAGCATGTGAAAGCCCTGAGCACTCTCCTGGAACAGCAGCAGCAGAAAATCATTGCACTGCAGAATGGCATGCAAATCAGTAAGTGTGATACTTTGAGATACACTGTTTCAGTTTATTATGACTACACCCTATTTCCACCGATCAATAGTATTACTTATTATTGACAGACCATACCATTGAGATGTTTCTGCTCAATCAAAGCTAAAATTGTATCTTTCCCATTAAAAAAATTAATAAAAAAAGAAACCTGTTTCATTTCCAAAACTGTAGTATTATTAAATATTAACTGAATGTCTGATATGACTTTGTTTGTTGAAGGTGATCAGAGCAGTGTTAGCTCAGAGAACAGTGAGGAGATGTTCCGCTCTGGCTTCCACGTCTGTGCTAAGGAGGTCCTCCTGTACCTGGCTAACCAGGGGAGCAGCAGAGACCACCTGACCCCCTCCCAAATGATCAGCCACCTCCACAAAGTAGCATCAGAGGTGCTCCAGGGTCCATTCAGCCCCCGGCCCGAAGAGCCCACCCACAAACCCATCGATAGCATGGAGAAGCCTGCTGGTCAGCTGCCTAAGGGCAATGAGGGTCACCCCAAGAACTTTGTGTCTGTCATTCAAAGGACATACCCCCACGGACATGGAGAGCAGAGTGGCAATGACACAGACACAGACAGCGGCTATGGAGGGGAACACGAGAAACGGGACCTCAAAGCCAAATGCTCAAGCTACTACGGCAAGGAGGGGGAGCTCAAGTACGCTCTGGCTGAGAGGATGGCAGGAGGTGGCATCAAGCAGGAGGGTGATGAGCCCCAGGCCAAGAGGTTAAAAGCCAACTACTCAGAGGATGAGTCTTCCTCTGGGCAGGTGGTTAGCAGCCATCACAGTTACATGAGCTTCTCCCAATACCAGACCCCACTCTGCGTGCCCTTCTACCTCATCCCCCAAGAGGCTGCATCATGGCCCATGATGGAGAAGTGCTGGTTCCCAGGGGGCATGCCCTTTTTGTACCCAGGCATGAGTGGCTCAGCAGCCAGCTTGTCTCCAGATAAAATACCCCAAAACCTAGTAATGTCTTTCAGGGCAGGTTCCCCGGCACTCTACCAGACACCCAAGGACTCACCAGCCCTCCTCCAAGCTTTAAAGCAAGCCCCCCCATGAAGTTGGAATCCAAAGACTGATACACTTTTGTGTTTGCACCCAGCTCAATTAATGTTTGGGGTTGAACGGATCGCCTGCTGGAAGGCGTCCAGGTTAGCAAAGACAAACACGAGAGCACCAGTTTGTCTCCCTCAGCAACAGCAGCAAGCAACTGTTTCTCCCATTAGCCCGCACTCTCCCTCTGAGAGCAAACAACAACTGTCACACACAAACCCAGTGGCCACCGCCCTCCAAGCCAGCACAGAGGGACCTTGGAGCCAGTCAGCACTGAAGCTCAGACCCTATGGAGGCTCACAGATTACCTGTTGCAAAGCCCTGAAGAGCTGGTCAACACAAGGACATCACAAAAGAGAGGGACATACTGTTGAGATAGCTTCCCTGCACTTGTGTTGAATGTCAGAGTTAAACCCTGAATGTGATGAGCAGACAGCACAGCCCCCAGCCATTCAGACCTGCCCTTTGCACACACACCGGTCTGTAATGAATGTAAGAATTTAACGAAACCCCTGTAGATGCTGCTTGAGTTTCTATGTGTTGTAGAAGTGCGACCGGAGGATCCACATTTTCTGCATCTGTAGCTGCTGAAACTGCAACAGACCCTCCTTTAGACTAGAACGCTACCAAATACGTCTCTGGTTTATGTTGACCAGGGCTCTCACAAAATCCATTGCTCCCTCTTCACCCACCAAGTGTACCCTACCTTGCAGCTAAATGGACTCCACTGGATTTTATTATTTAAAAAAAGTTAGGATGGTGTCACCGGACCTGATATGTGTCACTCATGTAAATAGAGGAGTGATGCAGTCAGTTATGCATTTTAGTTTTGAGTTTGTAAGTCACTACCATTCGTGCAAGTAGTTCTTGTGAGGTAATGTCTTGTAATTATTTTGTTTATACTACTTGTACATCTCTATTTTTGATACATGATCTACAGAGTGTATTTGCATTGTAACTAGAGGGAGGGAATTTTAGATGGCCATTTTGCTGTATGCCAAGAGAACGTGTACATAGCATTGCACTAGACCTGATTTGCATCATGCTCATTATTCATTTCTGGTCTGGTCAATTTCTGGCCTGATCTTAGTTCATGCTTGCTTTCGCTTAAAGCAGACACAAATTATGGCAGATGTCTAAATGTATTTCTATCAATTCCTGAGTCTGTGGCAAAGAGAGGAGAGTGAATGTAATGCTACAGCAAAATGTTAGTTTTATATCGGACGAGGTACTTGGGATTTCTATTTTGCGACCTAACAGAAGGTTGCTTGTTGTACATATTTTGTCTATAAAGTATTGTTGACATAAAGTTTTTTTCTGTGGAAATAAGTGTTTGGGTCTGAATCTTGGTAGAACACTTTAGCATGTTGCACAGCAACGCAACCCTACCTGGCTTCTCATAATAACAATACATGCTTACATAACATGAACACTCACCTAATCCATAAGGCAGCAGTCAGAGGCAGACTGGAGCAAGAAATCGGCTCTGGCATTTCTAATACACCGGTCCTTTTTTTCCTAGAGGCCCCCGCAACAGCCTATTCTTTTCCTCAAGGCCCCCATTATTAGACAGATAATTATAATTTTGCACCAAAAAAAAAAAACTTAAACAGGCCCACTGGGATAAAAATGGACCAGCCCATCTGACATTTGCCATTGTAGACCTAAATCAACAAGACATGAAAATGAAAAAAAAAATATTAAGCAGGTTGCTGTAAATAACTATACATTTACATGTTCCCCACAACTCAAATGACTTTATAGAGATTCTATAACAGACTGATAGGATATTATAGTATGACCACCTGACATTTTTGGAACTAGTGGATTGATAGACCAAATAGTGTATTGATTGATAGAAACAATTGTGGATTGGTCTTCATCATATTAAGGATAGCCTAGTCAAGCATCTGTAGGCTAATATTCAATAATATTTTGAGTGATTGTACGTTTTATCAGTTACAGGAAAAGTTCTGTGATGACGTCTTATATAGGCATATGCCTTTTCATCAGAAAATAAGAACTAACCAACAGAACCAATATAGGCCTTCCTATTTTAGGCCTATAGCCTACTTGTAGTTGCATAGGCAGCAGGACCTTACAGCGCACATAGTTCACTCATTGTATAATGCTGGTCAATCTGAATAGTGTAATAGGCTATCTGTTTAGCATATCTGTTTACCTGTCCCACCATTAATGGCTGTCCCGACATAAAAGGACTGTAGGTTATTGCAAGCGCCGCTGTTCTGTGAACATGAGGCACGTTTGGCCCAATGATTTATATATACACTAGATGACTGACAGAGGCGCTGTTTTAAACCATATTTGGAAGCTAAAGAAATGCATTTATTAATGTCTACATTTGTTTTTGCCACATTTAATGCATACTTTTATATTATATAATGTGAGCTAAACATAATTTTTTAAATAATAAAAATAAAAAAATCCTTAAAGTATAATATTTTAAAAGTTCTAATGTTACTGTCCCCACTACAACAACATAAAATAATTAAATACATGTCATTTTCTCCTTGAAACATTTAATTGAAATACTGTAGAATTACATTCATTCTTATGGAGGACTGCTTCTTCAGGGGAGTACCAATATGGCTGACCGGTAGCTTCAAAGCCTCTCATTGGCCATTACATAGCATCAGCAATCATTGGGTTTGGCCACACTGTTTCTCTCCAGCCTCAGCTGATGTGTCAAAGAATGCAAACTGGCCCCGTGTGTCAAAGCATGCAAACTGGCGGTCAACCGTGTGCCACAAACTGTACGTGGGTGTGGCAGCAAGAAAAATGCACATGCCATGGCCTATTAGCCTACCTGAAACATTAAATTCAACATTTATCATCATAATATTATTCAACATAGCCTGCATTTATCTATTTATTTGACAGGGACAGTGCACATCAATGAACATTTCTGAAAAAGAAAATACAATATGCCAGATTTAGCTAGCTGGCTAGTTTTAATCTGTATTTTGTAGTCCCTGGGCAGATTTATAAAAAACATTTAGCATCAAACATTTCACATTAAAAAAAATATCCAGTCCCTATATGGGCTTTAAAATAATAGAAGTAAGTTACAAAAATGAAAAATAATAATAATTGTGAAAAAGAAAATACAATAAATACAAACAACCAAATAGTACAAACAGCAACAATAAAGGTTCACAAGTGGCTATATTAAACCAGTATAGGCCTCCATGCATATTGCCTAATAGGTACAGATGTAGGATCTTAATTTGAGCCAGTCTCCTACAGCAGGAAAATAATCTTGCCGCAACAGGAAATGTGAATTATTATGTGGATTATAGTTAATGGACATTTTTGTAGCAGTTGATACATATTTCGTAAGGGAAAATCAAGTCTGGAATTTCAAAGTGGAAATTGCAAAATGTAGAAGCCTTTTTCGATCTCAAATATACTACAAGTTCTCCTGCAACATGGTGATCAAATTAAGATCCTACACCTGTATAGGACCAAATAAAAGAACCAAAAACTGACATAACAATCTATAATAATTGAAATACGGAAATGTCAGGACTTATTTACCTTTATTTAATCAGGGAGTCACCATTGAGACCAGTCTCTTTTCTTTTTTTTTCTTTTTATAAGGGAGTCCTGTGAACACAACTTAATAAAACACATAAAGAAATCTAATACAATATAAAACTAATAAAATACAGCACCACACATATTGCACAGACAAACATAAATATACACAAAATACACAAAATAAAGTAAACTAAAACAAACACTTTCCTCTTATAATAATTGGACAAAATGAAAACAATCATCCTACACTACCCTGCCCCTGGCTGTTCTACAGACAGAAGACAGTAGTCTATCCCCTGAGAATGAGAAATGAAACGAGACCCTTGAAGTCAGTAAAATGTTTTTCTAAATACAGTATTAACTCGCCATCTTGTGGTGAAAAGTAAGACCTACACGTAATGTTGATTGAGTCTCGAGACGCAGCCGTCATGGTCATATGACAGCGCGTATGCTACTTCCTGAAGACGTACTTTTGTTTGTCCGAACCGAACAGCTGTCTGGAGGCGGATAGAACCATATCATTAGGAATTAATAGGATCTCTATGCATAGAAGTTACTGGTCTTGCTGTACTACTTTTGTGTTCGGTGTCACTCATCAAGATGCTGGCGCTAATTAACAGACTTTTGGACTGGTTTAGGTCTCTCTTCTGGAAAGAAGAGATGGAGCTCACATTAGTTGGACTTCAGTACTCCGGGAAAACCACGTTTGTCAATGTGATATCAGTAAGTATAAGGATTTAATTACCACACCACATCAATAAAACATGCTAGTGTTAACATTGTTGGATAGGAAGAGACCACGAGCCGCTGGACTGTCTAGCCCAGCTAGCTAGTATTTAAGGAACCTGTGTGCTTAGCTACCATATGAGCTGATTCACTGTTTGCTAACATGAATGCTATGCTAGCATAGCAGTAATTTCAGGTGCTCTGCAGTGTCAACAGCTAGCTAGTTAGTAGTAAGTAGCCGGCTAAACTCAACGATTTATGATGGAGTTGAGTGGCGACTAGTGTGGGCGGACTGTCGCTCCGACGTCAAATAAAACCACGTTATTATTATTTTTTAAGTACAGATTTCAGCACCCAAAGAATAGTCCGCAATTGTCGCGCGTAATTGCGGGCTATTCTTTTTGTGCTGAAATCAGTCGTTTTTGATGTGACATTGGAGTTAAGTTTAATCGGCTATTTAGTAAGCAACATGACTGGTTAACTTTAGCCATAAATAAGACTATTGTATCTTATAACTAACGTTAGCTATGTCACATAGATTCTAATGTCAAATCCATATAATTTATCCACATGGCAACGCTGGAGCTAAAATATGTAGCTAGCTGAGGGGCATCACCTTTTTGTGTTTCTGCAGTCAGCTAACGTTGTCTAGCTAGGTAGCTAGCTAGCATGGCTAACGCATAACAAACTGTGTTCAACTGTTTTTGTCATCAAATTAAATGGACAATCAACATCACTCAAAGTTGTAAGGAAGAGTGACCGTTTGAAATGATTAAACCTACAGCCCTTTGCTTTGGCCTAAAGCTGGCTAGCTATAGGCTAGGCCCTACTTCTGAGAGCTGAATCATGAGACTAACTACCTAACTTCTTACTCCAAACTGTACAATCCAATTTGAGGTTTTTTTCTGGCAGCCTTCTGCTGTTGTTAGTCACTCCACTTGATATGAATGAAACCTGAGTCTGTTTTCATCTCACTTGGATGATGTAATGCCTCCCATGCACTGATACAAGTCACATCGAAACATAACATCAACAGTTAGGCCTATAAGAATTGCACTGCTTACAACAAGAACTGAGACCGGATTAACATTATATCTAGGCTACCTGTAAAATGTCGCTATTGTATTGAGTAAATCACTGTTTAAAAGTGCACACTACATAGTACTTAAGGGTATTTAAGAACTTTGAGTTTTTTCACTTTCTCTGACCTTGGCTCAGTTCAGCTGACCTAATGCTGATTAGGCTACATTTCCCTCTCCACAAGCCTAGCCTTATCAAATGTGTCCCAATGTCCATATTAGCTCTTTGGCAATATATTTGTAGACAGGCAGGTATGTGGAAAGTTGGGCCTGATTTGACTGTTTTCTGCTAAGTCACTTGGAAGGACTAATAGTGTTGCACAAGGAATGCAGGCCCTTTGTTTTCCCTAGTTGTGTTCCACAATGTTGGATTTTGACTCCATGCAGAAGGACACTTGGTACAGTTACTTTCCCCAAAAAATAAACTTGGCCTATTCATACACTATATATGCAAAAGTATGTGGACATACCTTCAAATTAGTGGATTCGGCTATTTCGGCCACGCCCATTGCTGACGGGTGTATAAAATCAAGCGCATAGCCATGCAATCTCCATAGACAAACATTGGCAGTAGAATAGCCTTACTGAAGAGCTCAGTGACTTTCAACGGGGCACCGTCATAGGATGCCATCTTTCCAACAAATAGTTTGTCAAATTTCTGGCCTGCTAGAGCTGCCCCGTTCAACTGTAAGTGTTGTTATTGTGAAGTGGAAACGTCTAGGAGCAACATGGCTCAGCCGCGAAGTGGTAGGCCACATAAGCTCACAGAACTGGACCGCCGAGTGCTGAAGCGCGTAAAAATCAGCTGACCTAGGTTGCAACACTCACAACAGAGTTCCAAACTGCCTCTGGAAGCAACGTCAGCACAAGAACTGTTCGTCGGGAGCTTCATGAAATGGGTTTCCATGGCCGAGCATCCGCACACAAGCCTAAGATCACCATGCGCAATATCAGCTCGAGTGGTGGAAAGCTTGCCGACATTGGACTCTGGAGCAGTGGAAATGCGTTCTCTAGAGTGATGAATCACACTTTGCCATCTGGAAGTCCGACAGATGAATCTGGGTTTGGCGTATTCCAGGAGAACGCTACCCGAATGCATAGTGCCAACTATAAAGTTTGGTGGAGGAGGAATAATAGTCTGGCCCCTTAGTTCCAGTGAAGGGAAATCTTAACGCTACAGCATACAATTACATTCTAAATGATTCTGTGCTTCCAACTTTGTGGCAACAGTTTGGGGAAGGCCCTTTCATGTTTCAGCATGACCGTGCCCCTGTGCGCAAAGTGAGGTCCATACAGAAATGGTTTGTCGAGATCGGTGTGGAAGAACTTGACTAGCCTGACCTCAACAGAGCGCTGACCTCAACCTCATCGAACACCTTTGGGATGAATTGGAACGCCGACTGCGAGCCAGGCCTAATCTCCCAACATCAGTGCCCGACCTCACTAATGCTCTTGTGGCTGAATGGAAGCAAGTCCCCACAGCAATGTTCCAACATCTTGTGGAAAGCCTTCCCAGAAGAGTGGAGGCTGTTATAGCAGCAAAGGGGGGACCAACTCCATATTAATGCCTAAGATTTTGGAATGAGATGTTCGATGAGCAGGTGTCCACAACTTTGATAATGGAGTGTGTGTGTGTGTCCATCACAGGAGGTTGGTGGCACCTTAGTTGGGGAGGACGGGCTCGTGGTAATGACTGGAGCGGAAAGAGTGGAATGGTATCAAATATATCAAACACATGGTTGGATGCCATTCCATTTGCTCCGTTCCAGCTATTATTATGAGCCGTCCTCCCCTCAGCAGCCTCCACTGGTGTCCATTATCCTGTGACAAACCCACTGGACCAACAAAACCTGCTTAATTCATGACCCCAAAACCATTTAAAACCAAGGCATATGTATTGGCTTGACCTAAGAATGTCCTTTACAGTAATGGCTGGGTACTCTAGTCTGAGTAGAAGAGGATCATTACCAAAGAGGCTTTGCAATAGCAGATTGGAATACAGTTTCCCCATGCTTGAATTCATCACAAGAATGCAGCACTTTTTCACTTAGTTGTGGTCAGGTGACCTGGACATGTGGTCTGGAGCTGGACAAAGCTGCACTCTCACCCACTCCATAGCCAGCAGTACGACACCAGCCACACAACTCGAATGCTGTTTTTTTTTGGGGGGTTCATTCTTGAAATCCCCCTAATGACTGCCTTGCTACTCAATTGTTTGTATAAAACTAAACTGATGGAAATGGTGGCTGTCATTGGACTTTTGTTCTTCTAGAGCTCATTCCTACAGTCCCCATTGGAGCAGACATGAGATACCCCTCTCAATCTGTTGGTGTTACATTTTTGCAAGATGGTGCTTGCAAACTCCCTCCTGCACTAAAAGGGAACTGTGAAGTGAATGTGTGTCATTTGACCAGGTGGCCAGGAAGGCACTAATACAACCAGATGTTATAGGCCTAATTTTGGGGGGCACTTGGTTGACCTCAACAGTGTCACAGTTTCAATTCAATTTAAGGGCTTTTATTGGCATGGGAAACGTATGTTAACGTTGCCAAAGCAAGTGAAGTAGATAGTAAACAAAAGTGAAATAAACAAATATTAACAGTAAACATTACACTAAGAAGTTCCAAAAGAATAAAGACATTTCAAATGTCATATTATGTATATATACAGTGTTGTAACGATGTGCAAATAGTTAAAGTACAAATGGGAAAATAAATAAACATAAATATGGGTTGTATTTACAATGGTTTTTGTTCTTCACTGGTTGCCCTTTTCTTGTGGCAACAGGTCACAAATCTTGCAGCTGTGATGGCACACTGTGGTTTTTCACCCAGTAGATAAGGGAGTTTATCAAAATTGGGTTTGTTTTTGAATTCTTTGTGGATCGCTATAATCTGAGGGAAATATGTGTATCTAATATTGTCATACATTTGGCAGGAGGTTAGGAAGTGCAGCTCAGTTTCCACCTCATTTTGTGGGCAGTGTGCACATAGCCCGTCTTCTCTGGAGAGCCAGGTCTGCCTACGGCGGCCTTTCTCAATAACAAGGCTATGCTCACTGAGTTTGTACATAGTCAAAGCTTTCCTTAAGTTTGGGTCAGTCACAGTGGTCAGGTATTCTGCAACTGTGTACTCTCTGTTTAGGGCCAAATAGCATTCTAGTTTGCACTGTTTTTTTGTTTGTTCTTTCCAATGTGTCAAGTAATTCTCTTTTTGTTTTCTCATGATTTGGTTGGGTCTAATTGTGTTGTTGTTGTCGTTGTCCTGGGACTCTGTGGGGTCTGTTTGTGTTTGTGAACAGAGCCCCAGGACTAGCTTACTTAGGGGACTCTTCTCCAAGTTCATCTCTCTGTAGGTGATGGCTTTGTTATGGAAGGTTTGGGAATCGCTTGTTTTTAAGTGGTTATAGAATTTAACAGCTCTTTTCTGGATTTTGATAATTAGCGGGTATTGGCCTAATTCTGCTCTGCATGCATTATTTGGTGTTTTTCGTTGTACACAGAGGATATTTTGCAGAATTCTGCATGCAGAGTCTCAATTTGGTGTTTGTCCCATTTTGTGAATTCTTGGTTGGTGAGCGGACCCCAGACCTCACAACCATAAAGGGCAATGGGTTCTATAACTGATTCAAGTATTGTTAGCCAGATCCTAATTGGTATGTCAAATGTTATGTTCCTTTTGATGGCATAGAAGGCCCTTCTTGCCTTGTCTCTCAGATCGTTCACAGCTTTGTGGAAGTTACCTTTGGCGCTGATGTTTAGGCCGAGGTATGTATAGTTTTTTTTGTGTGCTCTAGGGCAACGGTGTCTAGATGGAATTTGTATTTTTGGTCCTGACAACTGGGCTATTTTGGAACATAATTATTTTTGTCTTACTGAGATTTACTGTCAGGGCCCAGGTCTGACAGAATCTGTGCAGAAGATATAGGTGCTGTTGTAGGCCCTCCTTGGTTGGTGACAGAAGCACCAGATCATCAGCAAACGGTAGACATTTGACTTCAGATTCTAGTAGGGTGAGGCCGGGTGCTGCAGACTGTTCTAGTGCCCTCGCCAATTCGTTGATATATATGTTAAAGAGGGTGGGGCTCAAACTGTATCCCTGTCTCACCCCACGGCCCTGTGGAAAGAAATGTGTGTTCTAATTTATTGAATCTCTCTTGACCTATAGTAGCCTCAAAATGTAGAGACAATATTGTAGATACAATCACACCCATTTACATCGCTGTGACCTTAACTGACCATACCTACATTTTATGGAGTCTTTGATACAATCATCAGTAGTGAATTCAGTTGGAAAACGGCCTTCAGATGTTCCAGGCTCAAGCCTGGCCACCAACTATCCCCAAATCTGCTACAATACATTTAGTATTTTTCAAATTGCTGCTCAATGTGTAGCCAAATGTTTTTGTCTAGCTTTATGTGCTTAATGTCCACATCACCGACAAAGCTTTCCTCATGTCCTAAGTTCACTTTTCCTTGCTTTTGTTTCTCACAGTCTGGTCAGTTCAGTGAAGACATGATTCCCACAGTCGGCTTCAACATGCGGAAGGTTACCAAAGGCAATGTGACGATAAAGGTAAAGGTTCGCCATTCAACCCTGCTCTAATTGCTCTCTGTGCTGTGCATCTCCACTTTGACCTACTGTCTGTCTGTATTGTCTACTGTGCAGATCTGGGACATAGGTGGACAGCCTCGCTTCAGAAGCATGTGGGAGAGGTACTGTCGAGGAGTCAATGCCATTGTGTAAGTATCTGGACCAGCGTAAAGCACCTTGCTGCTCCCCTCTCTAACCATAACATGCTACTCTGTATTAACGTTTGCTGTGGCATCTGTGTGTTTGCTGTGGTCTGTGTGTATGTCAATGCCAGGACTGTTTCCTCTCACCAATTTCTCTACCTCGTCTCTCATTATATGCCCTTGGCTCTGAAACGCAGGCTCCTTCTACCCTTTTAAAACTCTGTGGTTCCTGTCCTAATTTGAAGCTCTGATCTACTTTAGCAATCACGCTGGGTTCAGGAGATAATATTGTTAACTTTTTAGGATGCATTTAGTTTAGAACTCGGCCGTCTGACTGTTCTTCTCCGCTATGTTCTTTTCTAGCAGCTGCAGCAATCATGTTTTTCGTCAACTGTCTTTTTGTGCTTTTCTAAGTCGTCAATCTAATCTAAGTAGTTTTCAACAAGATATGCAAAAAGACATTGGATAATTATACTTAACAAAAATATATAAATGCAGCATGTAAAGTGTTGGTCCCATGTTTCATGAGCTGAAATAAAAGATCCCAGAAATGTCCCATATGCACAAAAAGCTTATTTTGCTCAAATGTTGTGTACATATTTGTTTACATCCCTGTTAGTTAGCATTTATTCTTTGCCAAGATAATCCATCCGCCTGACAGGTGTAGCATATCAAGAAGCTGATTAAACAGCATGGTCATTACACAGGTGCACCTTGTGCTGGGGACAATAAAAGGCCACTCTAAAATGTGCAGTTTTGTCACACAACACAATGCCACAGATGTCTCAAGTTTTGAGGAAGCATGCAATTGACATGCTGACTGCAGGAATGTGCATCAGAGCTGTTGGCAGAATTGTTCATTTCTTTACAATAAGCCTACTCCAACGTCATTTTAGAGAATTTGGCAGTATGTCCAATCGGCCTCAAAACTGCAGACCACATGTAACCATGCAAGCCCAGGACCTCCACATCTAGCTTCTTCACCTGCGGGATCGTCTGAGACCAGTCACCCAGACCGCTGATGAAACTGAGGAGTATTTCTGTCTGTAACAAAGCCCTTTTGTGGGGAAAAACTAATTCTGATTGTCTGGGCCTGGTGGGTGGGCCTATGCCCTCCCAGACCCACCAATGGCTGCGCCCCTGCCCAGTCATATGAAATTCATAGATTAGGGCCTAATGAATTTATTTCAATTGACTGCTTTCCTTATATGAACTGTAACTCAGTGAAATTGTTGCATGTTGCGAATATATTTTTCTTCAGTATAGTGCTAGTTGGAGCTACACAGCCTATTTTTCGCTGGAAGTCTGGATGCATTCCCAATGACGATGGTGATTAGTGAGAAAATCAAATGCTACTGAATGTCTTTGGTCTTTGATGAGTTACAGTTATGTATATGTTTTGTACCCAGTTGCATATGGATCTACTAAATTGAATGTTATGAAAAACCGGCGTCTGAGCATTGTCTTTTTTCCTCCAGTTACATGGTAGATGCAGCAGACCGTGAGAAGGTAGAGGCCTCCAGGAATGAGCTCCACAACCTGTTAGACAAGCCTCAGCTACAAGGCATCCCTGTAAGTCAATTCTAATGCTATATCAATCCCAATGAGTGGCCAGTCAGTGACACATTTATCATCTTCCTTGAGTTCTTCAGACCCAATGTTCAGCCCATCTTGGTTGACCTTGACCCCATGCCATACATCCCCAGGAGGGTCCAATGACTCCAATCAAATACATTTGATCATCACTCCTAATTGGCAATCACAACCTCTAATGGTTTAAGTGACTCGGGCTAAGTGGCATTGGAAGTGCTCAATTTTGTACCCCATCCAAGATTTTTTATTAGATTTCAGTTTCCAGCCCAGCAGCTTGCCAACTGACAGGACAATGTTTGACATGCTGACTCCGTTAGCCTTCCAGCTTCTCTGATAAAATGCCAAATAGAGGTTGTCTTTTTCCACCAACAGAGAAGGTTCTGTAATAGCAAAGAGGTAATACAAAGCTTATAGATTATCTGTCCAGAAGGTGTGATGTATCTGCAGTAACAGGGAAGGGCAGCCCAGTGGGATTGGCTCTGCTGAGAAGTCTGAGTCTCCGAGAGAGACGGTCATAAAGCCTGCTCTGTCTGCATACACCCACTGACCCGTCTTGCTCTTCTCTCCTCAGGTTCTAGTGCTTGGAAACAAGAGAGATCTTCCCAGTGCGCTTGACGAGAAGCAACTCATCGAAAAGTTGTAAGATGCTCCGTTTCTCTCTGTTCCCTGAATGATCAATTTGTCATATGGGTCGAAATGACAAGGACAGACATGTTAACCTATATATCCTTCATGTGTATGTGATCTTGACAGTGTAATTAAAATCTTCCCAAGGGTATTGAAATGGCCATGACTCCCAATAGGAATGCCACATTGAACTTTTGTAGCCCATTACTTGCTAACCATTTATCTTGAGTTTATTTTACGGATTGCTGGTTGATGCGGGGTTGAAGAGAGAAATGCTCTGCCAGGTCCTTAAATACCTTTTTATCTTGGCATTGTTTAGAAGGACTATTACTTACATACTCTACATTAGGACCATTTGAAAGGTGATAAAAGGACATTTACTGTATATTTATTTCACCTAGAAGACACTTTTATCCTGTATACAAAAGTAAAAGAAACCAAAGCACTGACTGATTTAACTCTCTGCAGGAATTTGTCAGCCATCCAGGACCGAGAAATCTGTTGTTACTCTGTTTCCTGCAAAGAGAAGGACAACATAGGTGAGTAGTAGTGAGGCAGGCAATGCACACAGCCCCTACCAATTATCAGTTTCAGCATTTCTAATTCAATTAAGAGGGAGTGCTGTGCTTATGCTTGTTCTTTTTAAAAAATGGTCCCCTCTTTGTAATATATAGTATCTTCTGTTTCGCAATAGTTTGGGGATTTTAAATATCTCCGCAATAATGTGATGAAGTTTTATTCCATCTTCAGATATCACTCTGCAGTGGTTAATCCAGCATTCCAAGTCCTGAAGGAGCTGAGAGTGTAGGTCCTGCCCCAGCCTTCGCTGCTTCTGTGAGTCCTCCTTGCTGCCTCTGTGAAGTGGTTCTCAACCGCCCTGTCTACTCTCAACCCACCACTACATTCTGCACCATTTCCAGATGTGTAGTCTTCAGTACAACACCAACCACTGCTTAGTCTTTCAGTTGTCACAATACTGTGATGAAGGACAGTGGAGAGTCCCTACTCATCATACTTGTTTTCCTTGGAGAAGTTCTACGTGTTTGTGTCCATCCTTTGGTTTTAACGCTACAAACTGGGTTCAGGGAGTCTCATTACCTCCCAGCCCACTGGCATCATATCAGCTTGACTCTATCTAGGTGGTGGAATCCAGTCTCCTTCATTCAGCATCTACTCCAGTTCAATGTCCCCATTTGGTGTCAATGTAATATTGTTTGATTGTAATTAACGTTTTTGCCAAAATACGTCGCATGTGTGAATGCCTTTATATCCTGACACACTGTGATAGATATAATGTACGTTAATTGATTTGCTGGTCAATGGACATATTTAATGATGTATTTTATGAAGTGGCTTACAGTTTACCTGACAAATGGAAAGTAAGACTGTATGGAATGCTGTAGTCTGAGCTCAATCCTAAGAGGGCTCTGCAGAGTTTTAAGTGCCTTCTGCAAAATCTCTTTGATTTCTGGAGCAAATTAGCTTTCCATGCAAGAAGATGATCATCACACCATACAGATATGCTGAACATATTGATTGTTTTGACTTTTGACCCACGCCATTTACTTAGTTGTCTCTGGACACAATCATTAAACTCTGTAGAATCCCACGTTATTTAATGCACTTGTGTAAATATGCTTCAATAATAAAAAGTCATTGATGTACATAGGAGGAAATGTAGCTTGGTTGAAGGGGAAGCAGAAACACAGTAGTTCTCCACATTTTGTGAAATATGAAAATAGAATCTGAAAACGTATGATTATTAACAGCTTTTTGAGTGGCTGTCTCATTGGTTACTCTTGAATATCAAGCTCACAGAGGGTCATATAATTCAGTTGATCAGAAAGCCAGCTGGTGTTACTCATGGAGGAGTTTATGGCAGATGGTGTCATTCGATTCCTCACAATGCCGATCAGTCTGAGATAAAGTTTTACATGGATGACTTGTCATGTCTAAGCTTTAGCTTGAATAATGATGTATTTTGTGAAGCCTTACTGATCCAAGGAAAATGCTACAAGCCCCAAGATGTCACCTGTCTTAGTTTCACATGTTATATTAAAGAGTCATCAGTTCTACAGTGATTAGACAATGATTTCTTGATATGTTCTCCAATTATGACTTCATGACATACTATAGATTTCAGAATATCTTCTGCATAGAAAAGTCTTGGGTGGGCAGCCTAAGTGTTTTTTTTCGGCCTGCCTATGTCCAAACAGTAAAAAAATGTTTGATACTTTTCGGAATGGACATGTTTTTTTCTGTGTGAACATAAACGACTAAAACTAGATACAAAGTATGTAGAAAAGATAATGGAGCTATATTTTAAAATAAGTTCTTCTTTGAGAACTAACAATCACCAAAATAAAGGCTAGACAGTCAGAGAATATAAAATTCCCAAAATGATCCATTCAGGAGTATTTTTGTCATGGCATAGGGCCCCCATTGATTTTGTTGTGTTTGAGTCACTCAGACAGCATAAGCCATGCAACATTTTCGAATTGCGGGAAATTAGCTTTAAAACTGAAAATTTTCTCTCCGCCCCATGGAAAGATGAAAAATGCAGGAAATTAGCTTTAGAGGGCCTCAAAAATGTCTGTCTGCTACTGTACATTTGGCCACGCCCCACCACCAGATTTTATTCTGTACCTTGAAGACAGTAAATTGTTCACTGCACCCAAATGTGAAGAGCTTTCAATACTTAAATATCCCTGCTTTGCTGCTTGTACAGTACTAGTTATTCTGCATCTCATCTAGTTTGCTTGAGGATGTCCTCAGTATAGTACCTCACATGCTTTGTTGTTTTGTATTGGGGCATCTCTCTCTGTCTCTGTATACTTGTACTGATAGTGGTCTAGTAGTTGTACTGAAAGTGGGGGCCAGGTAAACCACATGTCCTTCTGCAGAATTTGGTGGTTAAAGCGTGTTACCTCTTTAATCCTGTGTTTGCTGTCCCAGACATTTTATGGAAGCGTGACACCATGTGGAATGAAAGACGTTGCCGTTCGCCCCCCATGTGAATTTGTATATGTGTGCAAAACCGATAGATTCAACAGCAGAAAAATAAGAAGTTAAGATTTGTATTCAGGTGAATGCTCTTGTATGTGTTTATTGCATTTTTTCTGTGACTGCTTAATAAAATAATTTTAATTTTTTAAGAACTGGGAAAGCATTACCAGATAAATGCCTTGCTGATATTGGTAGTTATTAGTTTTCTGTCCACAAGAGGGAAGCAAAGCACCATAGAAGCTGATATTGGTAGGCATTCGTTTTCTGTCCACAAGAGGGAAGCAAAGCACCATGGAAGCTGAAAGCAGAGGGAACAAGTCATGGTACAATAGCCCAGGGTTACCCAAACTAGGTCCTGCCCCCCCCCCCCCCCCCCCCCCCCCCGTGCACATTTTGTTTTTTTGTCCTCTTAAAGGGAGTGCTCCTAATCTCAGTTTGTTACCTGTATAAAATACACCTGTCCACAGAAGCAATCAATCAAGCAGATTCCAAATTCTCCACCATGGCCAAGACCAAAGAGCTCTCCAAGGATGTCAGGGACAAGATTGTAGACCTACACAAGGCTGGAATGGGCTACAAGACCATCGCCAAGCAGCTTGGTGAGAAAGTGACAACAGTTGGTGCGATTATTTGCAAATGGAAGAAACACAAAATAACTGTCAATCTCCCTCGGCCTGGGGCTCCATGCAAGATCTCACCTCGTGGAGTTGCAATGATCATGAGAACGGTGAGGAATCAGGCCAGAACTACACGGGAGGATCTTGTCAATGATCTCAAGGCAGCTGGGACCATAGTCACCAAGAAAACAATTGGTAACACAGTACGCTGTGAAGGACTGAAATCCTGCAGCGCCCGCAAGGTACCCCTGCTCAAGAAAGCACATATACAGGCCCGTCTGAAGTTTGCCAATGAACATCTGAATGATTCAGAGGGGAACTGGGTGAAAGTGTTGTGGTCAGATGAGACCAAAATCGAGCTCTTTGGCATCAACTCAACTCGCCGTGTTTGGAGGAGGAGCAATGCTGCCTATGACCCCAAGAACACCATCCCCACCGTCAAACATGGAGGTGGAAACATTATCCTTTGGGGGTTTTTCTGCTAAGGGGACAGGACAACTTCACCGCATCAAAGGGACGATGGACGGGACCATGTACCGTCAAATCTTGGGTGAGAACCTCCTTCACTCAGCCAGGGCATTGAAAATGGGTCGTGGATGGGTATTCCAGCATGACAATGACCCAAAACACACGGCCAAGGCAACAAAGGAGTGGCTCAAGAAGAAGCACATTAAGGTCCTGGAGTGGCCTAGCCAGTCTCCAGACCTTAATCCCATAGAAAATCTGTGGAGGGAGCTGAAGGTTCGAGTTGCCAAACGTCAGCCTCGAAACCTTAATGACTTGGAGAAGATCTGCAAAGAGGAGTGGGACAAAATCCTCCTGAGATGTGTGCAAACCTGGTGGCCATCTACAGGAAACGTCTGACCTCTGTGATTGCCAACAAGGGTTTTGCCACCAAGTACTAAGTCATGTTTTGCAGAGGGGTCAAATACTTATTTCCCTCATTAAAATGCAAATCAATGTATAACATTTTTGACATGCGTTTTTCTGGATTTTGTTGTTGTTATTCTGTCTCTCACTGTTCAAATAAACCTACCATTAAAATTATAGACTGATCATTTCTTTGTCAGTGGGCAAACGTACAAAATCAGCAGGGGATCAAATACTTTTTTCCCTCTCTGTAGTTATTAGCTGGTCAAAATGAGACTACATGAAAGGTGGAATACTGTGGATATAAATGTGTGTTAGTGCAGGTTTTCAGTGAATGTATGTAAGTCACAAAGCTCATCTGCATTTCCTGCAGCGCAGGAGTGATCAAATTGAGATCCTACATCTGTATTTGTGGGTCAGACAGACTTTACAGTCGCTCTGTGGTAAATTGATCTATGTAGGTATAGCCTACACGTTTTGATAGGCCTATTTGTCTAAGGTAAGCCTTTGTTACAGGCTTTCACCTCACAACGTGAGCGAAGCCTGGGCTTACGGGGCTAGTCTACAGGGGCGGTGTGTTCAATAGGGCGATATGGGCGACGCACTGCCAAACGGGAAAAGGAAGGGATTTTTTTCCTAATCAATTATATCACGGCAACAGTAGTTATCAGTGTTCTAATCTGATCTGACTGCCACTAAATGTCAAATCAGGCTAAAGTCGTGCTTCAAATGGCCCCGCCCGTTTTTGGGGCGATTTCAGTCATGTTGAAAATCGCCCAGAAGTCTGTCATAGACTCCCATGTAAAATCTATTTTTTTCAAATTTCAAAGCTTTCAATACAATCTCTATGGGTGTCTGTGGGCTTGCACTTACGCGCTTTCGTCATACGTGACGTAACCATGAACGTAACTAAGAAAATAGCGGCTAGCAGCGTCTCTGTTGCGACCTGCAGTGTGGCGTTATCTTATGTTTTTAATTTGTACACGTAGTGGCGTTATTTTATGTTTTTAATTTGTACACTTAGTTTACAAACATTCTGCCAACCATGGATTTCCAGTGGTGGGTTTTGGACTGATCTTGTTGATCGTGTACATACCCGCTACGAACGGACTAAATAATGAAAACGCTGCTGGCAGCGGAATCCAATACAGCTGGGAGACTTGGCTGGATGACAGAGTCCCGGACAGAGAAGTGGAGCCGGCCGGCTTCACCCTGGTCAGAGCGGACCGCGATCTGACAGTCACAGGGAAAATCGATCCTGGTAAGAGAGCGACTCTGTACCCCCGACATTGAACTGCTTTCTGTGTCACTGCGACCTTACTATCTGCCCCGTGAGTTCCCCCAATTGTTTGTTACCGTTGTGTACTGTTGATAATCACAAGTTTACTGGAGAACTGAGACCAAGTAGAGACTTTGGACAGGGTGGATATGGTATAATAAAGGCAGTTTATTCAGAGGTAAAGATATCTGGAATCGCGTGCACGGACTCGTTCGTCAAACTCTTAGGGAGCTATCTGAAGAGAGCCCCAAAAACATTGTGTGCAGACATTTTATACAATAAATGATGTAGGTTGAATCTAGTAGTTCTGATCTTCTGATTGGTCCTGATGAGTTGGGCGAGGTCCCCTCCACTGTTGCATTGGCTCTGAGTCGGGTTCTCTGTCTTCAAATGTTCAGCCTAAAGAGAGGGGATTTTTGTGTGTGTGTGTGTGTGTGTTTAACAGTGATGATGTGTGTGTGTGTGTGTGTTATCAGTGATGATGTGTGTGTGTGTGTGTGTGTGTGTGTGTGTGTGTGTGTGTGTGTGTCCTCAGAGCAAGAACTCGTGAGTTGGAAGAACTGAGAGACCTATGGCGTGGGTGTTGTCCTTGGCCACCTGCTGACAAGGCTGACAAGATAGGACTCTTTTGTCCATTGTTATAGGATAGGAACAGCATTGATTGAAAACAAACGCCCAACACAAAATGGGTCATGCACAAGATTTTAGTCAGACCAAGCTATAACATTATATATTTACTACGACAGTACATTCAACCAAAAGCTAATATAACAAAGGCATCAGAGATTATTTATAATCTGTCACAGAAACTGGAATCCATCTCCCCAGATCAGTCAATAAATGCTTCTGGTATTGACTTATATGCTGCCCCTGTCTTCATGTTGTTGCTGGACATATCTTTTTTAAAATGTGTGTAGGTCACCTAAATCATCAGAAAAATTGCCCCTCCTGAGAATTTTTTCAGGAGCCGCCACTGCTAGTCTAAGGTTATGTGTTTCTTACTAGTTTTATAAAAATGTTATACCTTGAATTCCATAGGTCTTTAGCAGCTTTTGTGTTGATTGTTTTAATGCATTACATCTGTCGCTTCTTACCACAGGCAGCAAAATGTCTCCAACATCTTTCACACTCATCACACCAAGCTTATATCTGGTGTACAATATCTCCATCTCCAGTGAACTTCTTGGAAAATGTACCAAAAAATCTCCCATAAATGTGAAGCAATCTCACATATTGGCTTGACACAACCTAAACATCCTGCCTTAGCTGATCATTACATTAATCCATATTTCAATAAAAGGCTACGATAAATTGTGGAGTCCACAATGCACTCTTAACCCCTTTCAGTTTTTCTTGTGTAAATTCACTGTCATATACAATATTGAAATAAAACTCCTACCTTAATAATGGGAATAAGAGAACAAGTGTAGGGGCGAACAAAGTGATTCCTGTACTCCCAGCTGTAAGGTATAGACCCCTTAGAGAGAAGCCCAGAGTAGCCCAGTCTGTTAACAGACCTGCCTTAATTATCTAATTTCTTAAACACCGCTTTTAAATGAACAGCTGCTGGGTTTTATTGTACGTGTGAGCAGTAGTTCATGTGTGGATGGATTTAGGTGTTTAGTGACAAGGTCCATGAGCGTTGTAGAGAGAGTGTGTGTGTGTGTGTGTAGTTTATGATTATAAGGAGCACAGTGGTTTAAGTGGTGGTTATGGCCTTGCCTCAGGGGTTTATGAACAGAAGGTCATGGACTTGACCTGAAGGTGTAACATGCCTTTATGTATGAAAAATGACTTTACTCAGTC